GCCACCTCATCCTCTGTTCCTGACGGCCTTGTTCCAATTTTGGGTGTGCATGTGAAAGGCCCACATTTCTTTGCCATAGTGCACTGAGAATCAGTAGCCAAAGAAACAGATGCTGATGAACATTGCAGTAGGCCCAGGGAAGCTAAGTTGATACGGGGCGGAGGAAGAGACTGGAAAACTAGAGGATACTGGGCATCTCTCTGCCCCTGAGCCACCATCCTGCCATTCCCCCATAACAATAATGAGACCCCTTCCTGCCCTTAACTCAACAGGCTCCCCCAGCATCTCTGTTCCTCCTGCCATCAGTGACCACCTTAATACAGGTGCCCTGGTTTGTGACATCAAAAATATGGCTCTAGCCAAGAATCTGCTAGCATTTAAATATTAATCGTGGGATACAGAGACCTTTGTAGGTGTCAAGTATCAGGGGTAGCCGTGTTAGTCTGTATCCACAAAAACAAGGAGTCCGGTGGCACCTTAAAGACTAACCGATTTATTTGGGCATAAGCTTTCTGCAGAAGTGGTTTTTTTAACCCACGAAAGCTACCCAAATAAATCTGTAAGTCTTTAAGGTGCCACTGGACTCCTTGTCTTTGTAGGTAGGGGTGTGGGTGTGTGTGAAACATGAGATACTGGCAGTATGTCCCCACCTCACACCCATATCCCGATGCTGACCTCTGCATTCCCTGAAGTTCTGATCTCTTGGATACTAGGATGGTATCAGAACACACTTAGGTTCGTGGGTGTCAGGCCTGGTAGGGATTGTTTATATGCATGTAAAGTCGTGTAGCCCAGAGTTACCTGTGATGCATTTAGCTAGAGAAGAAAAATCATGCCCAACGCTCACAGCTCATCTTTGTCATTAGCACTCAGCTAAAACACTATCCATGACATTTCGCAACTTTGCCTTGTCCCCGAGCTCCATTAAACTCCATTAGAGCCATTTGTTGTTCTGGCTGTAGCAGCTTTATAGAATACTAAGTACTTGGCTTCTGCACATGGCAGTATAATAAAAGGGGAGTTGCTGCTTGCGGTCTCAGAAGTAGGAGGTTCTAAAACTGTTCGGATTCTGGCCTCCACTCCCTGTTTTCAACATGTTTTTGGACCAGTTACAATGTAACTCTCTTCCCCCCCCCCCTTCCCAAAAGAGCATTTCAGTCAGGGGAGAGAGAGCCCTAATTGTCGAGCAAATGTTACATTCATTTTAATTTTTTCTGTGTGCACATGTGTGTCTCTCTTGCACACGCACACAAACACAGGGGCAAGACATTTCTCTGTTCTTCACTTTCCCCATCAGTGAAATGGAGATGATGATGATGATTGATGATTTCCTGCCAGACAGGAGGTTTGTGAGGTTTATCTGGCTTAGCGCCCTACATATAAACTAACTTATTAAATGTCCCCAGATTTGCCCTTCTTGTGAAGACCCCAATTTCACTTTAAATGGTTGATTTGAGAATGAGGTCTTGCGTTTTGGAGTCACTTTGTTTAGAGTAGTAGTGCAAATCTCTCCGCCCAAGTGAGGTCTCTTCCGAGATTGTCCATTGTCAGTGGAAGGGGAGTCTGAGTGCAGTGCAGTAGAACTTCAGAATTACAAACACCTCGGGAATGGAGGTTGTTCGTAACTCTGAACAAAACATTATGGTTCTTTCAAAAGTTTACAACTGAACATGGACTTAATACAGTGTGAAACGTTGCTATTCAGAAGAAAAATGCTGTTTTTAACCATCTTAATGTAAACGAAACAAACAGTTTCCTTACTTGTCAAATCCTTTTTTTTTAAATTTTCCTTTATTTTTTTTACTAGTTTACGTTTAACACAGTACTGTGCTGTATAGTATTTGTTTTTATTTGTCTCTGCTGCCTGATTGTGTACTTCTGGTTCCAGATGAGGTGTATGATTGACTGGTCAGTTCGTAACTCTGTATTTGCTCTTGTCGTCTACTGTGACAGCAAACCCTTGAAGGACACCACTTCACATTACTGTGCGGTTAGCTGTCGTTTAAGATGAATGCAAGGAGTATTCTAGCAACTCATCTGCTTAAAGGTGTATTAGAGCTTGCTAGCTAAGACCTTTTAACTAATGCGTATTGATACGCTAGGTCAAGATATTAGTGACTAATGATTTTGTTTTTAGATGTGCAACTTGAGATGCTTTTAAAGGGGCCTCGTTTTTTCAGAACGCAGGTTCAGTGCGTTCAGACAATCACGCCCTATTTAAGGAGTGTTGAACTGAGCACCCAAAAATGGTCACTTCTGGAAAAAATCTTTGCTCTAGTGTAGATAAGGCTTTATCTTGTGCTGGGCCGTGGGAAGCACCAGTGTCTTGTAGTTCCATCGAGGGATTTTGGTACTGATTGATACCGTGAGAATTGAGGTCAGTAGATGACTGGACACTCTCTGAACCTGAGATGAAATTAAAATAATCTAAATGATGATGAAACCTTGTCCCCTGTGCATAAGTAGTCTCCTTTTTACCAACCCTTCTTCACCGGTACTCCCTATGATCTACATACACTAACACCAGTGGCACTGCTGAATAGCACTCAAAGCAGCTTCCCGCGTCCTGCTTTCTTTATCATCTGATGGTGAGGACTTGGCTAGTTTTTAATAGTCTCCATGATTTTTAAAAAAAAATTTAAAAGCCGTGCTTGTGGGATGGCTGCCATCTTGGCCAACACCCCCGGGGTTGAACCAGGGAACTCCAGAGCTGAAATTACGAGTCGCTCTAGCTTGAGCTAAAAATCAAGGCTCCCAAGTTGCTGCTTTACCAGACCCGTATCCTCTGTGGGTTGTGCATAGCGGGACACATACTGGCCAATGGGTCACTCACACACTTTAAAAGGGGCGTTAAAATTAGGCCCTCGGGGGCTCCCTAACGCAGGCAGTGGCAGAACAAGCTTCCCCCATAATGCCCTGCCAATGTGTCTCGACCCTCTCCTGGAGGTGTAAGGGTAGCTCTGACTCCTTGGCCTGTTCAGTCCCTGACAGCAGCTGTAACGCAAGTTGTGCCTCTTGAGTTAGTCTGATACTCTCTAGGAACAGGTGTATTATTGCCACCTGGAAAATTGGGTTCTCTCCGGGGCACTGGCCGCGCTGCAGCTCTAACAAAACTTGTGGCCAACCCAGGTCTAAACCTGACTTGTGTCCACCCACCATGTGGTTAATGCTGTTGTTAAACACATCGCCTCACTGGCCAGGGCCTCGACTAAGCTCATGAGCAGGGTTGCTGAATCTGGGGTGCAAACAATTGGGACCTCTGAGCCATTTCATCTGGGATGGCTCCCTCAAAACAGGGATGAATCGGGGCAACCCTGCTCATTGGCCTAGTTTAGCATTAGCTTTTTGTCCTTTAAAAATTCCCTCCTTTCATGAGGGCTCTGTGCAGCCTTAGTACATCACAGGCGAGCCCCCTCTCCTTCTTCCCTGATCTGGCAGCAGACCCAGATGGGGAGGGCCCTACCCTCTCTCTAACCACTACCACTCTGGCAGCAGAATCAGAATAGAAAACTCTGAAGGTCTGATCCTCTGCTTCTTGCTTAGGATCCGTGGCTACGAGGTAGCATTAGAGCTTTGGTGTTTTTGTGCTATTTTGGTTTTGGGTTTTTTTGCCCCCCTTTTTTTCCGTCTTAAGACACCCACACAAACCCTTAAATGAATACCACAAACGGGCCTGTCATACGTTGGGCCAAACTGACTGAAGGCAACCGTCTTTGGCCTGCTTCTTAACTGCTTTCCTAGGGCCCCCATGAGTTAGGACTAAACCTAGAACTGTTATTTCCCCGACCATTTGCACCACCTTGTGCTAAAGAAAAATCCCTGTTGTTGCTGGGGGAGTGTCATAGGAGATGTGGTTTGATTTTTCACTTGCTGTTGTTTGGTCTCTAAGTGTATAGAGCAGGGTGGGCAAACTTTTTTTTTTTTTTTTTTTCTTTGGGTTTTACCTCCCCAACCCCCCTCGCCCCCCCCCCCTCCCCCTTCCTGCCCCCCCCCAAACCCCCAACCCACCCACCCCCCCCCTGCTCATTGTCCCCTGACCGCCCCCTCCCGGGACCCCCCCTGCACCTAGCCGCCCCCCCGGTACCCCCACCTCCTATCCAACCCTCCCTGTCCCCTGACTGCCCTGACCCCTATCCACACCCCCGCCCCCTGACAGGCCCCCTGGGACTCCCCCTTTTCCAACCCCACCCCCTTACCATGCTGCTCAGAGCACCAAGACTGGTAGCCGCGCCACCCAGCCAGAGCCAGCCACGCCACCACGCAGTCTAGAGCAGGCCGCTGGCTCTTACAGCCGCGCTGCCCAGCAGGAGCTCGCAGCCCCGCCACCCAGAGTGCTGGCGGCACAGCGAGCTCAGGCTGCGAGGGAGGGGGAACAGCCGGGGCCTAGCCTCCCCAGCTGGGAGCTCAAGGGCCAGGCAGGATGGTCCCGCTGGCCATAGTTTGCCTATCTCCTGTATAGAGCATGTGTATGTTATTCCCCCCCCCCCTTCCCCCCCCCAATTTTCAGAACCCTACTGTCCTCTTCTAAGCACTCGGGTTCATTTCCTTCAGCTTCCCGCTGGTTATTGATGGTAGATAGAGTTTTTGTAGGTCTTGCTATTTGGAAGTTAGAAAGAAACACTGTACCCTTCCCCCAGCTAACGCGTATATTTCCAGTCGTCTGTGTCTGCGCCGACAGGGAGGAGAGAGGGATGGGAACTACCGTTCTGAGATCCCACCCAAACTAATCGGGGGGAGAAGGGTTGGGGCAGAGCCGTTGAAATGCAAACGTCTGCAAAGGACGGTTCTTGGGCCCTAGGACAGTGTGGGGCAAGCTTGTATCTGTGAGAATTGTAACCAGGTGGGATGGAAAGACCCATCGCTTTCAAGTGGGTCCCAAGTTCTCCCATCTGGCCTAGTCAGTGAACAGAAGCCAATATGAACACCCCGGTGGAGGAGATGTTGACGACTGGATGGTACCTAATGTATATTTCTTTTCACACCCCACATTTTCATTGTAGGTGGTTTCACCCCAACATCAACGGAATAGAAGCAGAGAAGTTGCTCCTGACGAGAGGTGTCCATGGGAGTTTTCTGGCCCGGCCTAGTAAAAGCAATCCAGGAGATTTCACTCTCTCCGTCAGGTATGAAAATGGGGGCAGCGGAGCGTTGCACCGGGGCAGCTATAGGCATTGGCCTAAATTTTCAGGCATGCACTCTTGCAGACATTTGGTTAATTGGCAAATCCCTGACACATGTTCATGCAAATAGGGGAAGGGAGAGGGGGAGGGGCAGCTCCCTGCTGCATACAGGTACCTGTACGTGGGCCTGATCCCAATTTTGTTCAAGTCAATGGAAGTCTTTGGCTTGTAGGGGGTTGTGCGCACACTGGGCCAACTTGTTGATCTCCGTTGAGCGTGCATAATAGGGCACCGGCAGGGTTCTGTGTATAGGTGCGAATGCTGATAATTGAGGGCTTTAAGTGCAAAAGACAGGTTAGTCCTCTGAATGTCAGCTTTGAATCCCTCAGCACCCAAGCAACACAGCATTAAATCCTGGCACGACTGAATGATCCCTTCATTGTTCCAGGTTAAACTTGAGTACCATTCATGTTGTGTAGGCTTTTTGAACGAGACCTGTGAAAACCCAGGTCCTGTCTGCTCTGCATGGACAAGATCCCAAGGCAACTTCCATTAAAAATAGGGCTTTGCCCTTGAAAACTGGGTCAGTGTGTCTCATTGTCAATGCTCAAAGCCATTATAGAAACAAATCTTGATTATGGTGATTTGGCTTTGGAACATGGCCTTCTAGGAAACAGTGGATCGCGTTCCATTTGTGCCTGGTGGGACTCCACTGATGTGAAAGTTACAATGAAGATGAACATAAGAATGGCCCCACTGGGTCAGACCAGAGGTCCATCTAGCCCAGTCTCCTGTCTTCTGACAGTGGCCAATGCTAGGTGCCCCAGAGGGAATGAACAGAACAGGTAATCAAGTGATCCATCCCCTGTCGTCCAGTTCCAGCATCTGTCAGTCAGAAGTCTAGGGACACTGAGAGCATGGGATTCCATCTCTTACCATCTTGGCTAATAGCCGCTGATGGACCTATCCTGCATGAATTTATCTAATTCTTTTTTTAATCCAGATATAGTTTTGACCTTCACAACATTTCACAGGTTGACTGCATTCTGTGAAGTACTTCCTTTTGTTTTAAACCTGCTGCCTATTAATGATCATTCGGTGACCCCCTGTTTCTTGTGTTATGTAAAGAGGTAAATAACACTTCTTCACTTTCTCCACACCATGCATGATCTTATAGACATCTATAATATCCCCCCTTAGTCATCTCTTTTCCAAGCTGAATAGTCCGTGTTTTTAATCTCTGCTCATATGGAAGCTGTTCCATACCCTTAATCATTTTTGTTGCCCTTCTCTGTGAGGTGACCAGAACTGCACGCAGTATTCAAGGTGTGGCCGTACTGTGGATTTACATAGTGGCATTGTGATATTTTTTGTCTTATTATCTATCCGATAATGCAAAGAATAAAGTTGACCCCCTGGGTCCGTGAGGCTAAAAGGGGAAGTTGGTGTGTTCCAGGGGTAGCTTTAACCCCTCCTGTGCCATACCTACCTGAAGCCTTACCGATAATAAAACAGGGTCCCTGCCCCCATGCAAGCCTCTTCTGAGGTTATTTTAGTCGTTTGTTGTTTTTTCAGTGGCTGTTAACTTAGGTTTACAAGTCATTACCATATACTTCGTTTAAAGTAACCCCATGCAGCAATATATTGGTTAGTTTTATTTTTATTTTTTCCCCGATCTGGCAGGGTATTGCAGTGTTACAGGATGTGAGCATAACTCGTTAATTGGAGGGACTGTATCCCCTCCCCCAATGCCCTGGCTTTTGGTAGCCACTTGCAGGTTTTAATAGTGTTTTGAATATTTCAAGTGAGTGTTCACTTTTGCTGTTGCCCCAAAATAAAATCTCGCTCCTCCTCCCCATGTTCCACCCCCCCCGCCCCCTTTTTCCTCTCTCTGATGCTGGAACCCAAAATACCCCCATTCATGCTGATCTACAAAGGGCAACTAGTTTCTTGGCCACAGTGAGAGAGGGTTTTGCCTTTGTTGCTCTCTAAAGCAAGCAACAATTGATCTGTTAACAAGCTGGGCAGGGCCCCTGACTTTTCTGACCATAGAGCAGTAATGCAGGGGGCCATGGGAAGGAACGTGGCTAACTTTTCAGCAGGCTAGAGAGTTTCAGCCTCAGACTTGAATTGCGTATGCTGCAGGTAATCTTTGCGATCAGAAGCTGTTGGGTTAATAAGAGACAGGAAGTGTTTCTAATTCGAATGGAAAATCGAGTTAGTCACACAGAGTTGCCTTGATCAAGCTGATCACTGGGAGAGAAGAAGCGTAAGACTGGGTTTGGCTCTGTGTGATGCTAATGCCTTTTTTCTTTTAATTTCTTTTTTTGTGAGTCAGTGTTTTTGTCCGTTTTCAAAGTGAGCCACTGACGGCATCTCGATAGTCAGGTATAGTGGGTGAGAAGCAGCATCTGCCTGCAGAAGCTTTCCTTTCCAGCACTCTGCCCACACACGCCTGCCATTCCAGTGCCTTGCCGGGGCTCCGTTCTTAGCTGGCCCTTCGGCACTACCCTGATGAGGATGCAAACTGCCCTTCAATCTGCAATCCCTTCTGTTCTGCTCCTGGCGCACGCTGTGATGGAAGGGTTAAAATGCCAATGACCTCCTCCAAAATAGCAGCTGCTAGCCAAAGCTTCCCAGATCTCTTGTGTAAGGAAGTCTGTGTTCCTTGTTCTTGCAGGTGTGTGGGGAGGGGGGCAGCAGAGGGAGAGGAGGGTGATTTGGGATTTCAGGGGAGTACCTGGAACATTTTTCTAGAGGAAGATGACGCTTGTGTTGCCATTTAGTCTGATCCATGATGATTTTACATCAGGGGTCAGTTATTGTATGTGCTAAGAGTGTAGGTGCTTTCCCACTACTCTTTGGGAACCAGGATGCTCAGTTACTATTTGTAGCCCAATGGAGTCTTGAGCTGGATGGTCTCAAGGTGTTACCACAGGATAAATATTGACTTAAAAAAGAAACTGTGGGTAGCTCAACCCAAATCAAATGTCCCTCGCCCACGGCCAGCAAGGTCTGTGTCAAGCACAAAACACGAAGTTTACCTTGAAGTCTTAATATTTATCAATTGTGTGGCCACAACCCACTGACACATTTTGATTCAATGGAAATTCTGAACCAACCTCGCGCACACAGTATGAAATCAGCAATGGCTGTGACACTTAAAGGCACTTTCCTGGAAACATTTAGATTTGTGCATTTGATTTTTGCAACCCAGGTGTCATATCTGAAGTGTCAGATTTTTTCCATCGCTTAAGCATCTTTCTCCCTGATTATCTTACCTTTGACAACGTACTGTCATCTAAAATCTTCCCACCTTAGCTCCCTTCTCATTTCTGGTGACTGCCTTCAAATGCTGGCTTTGTCACACACATGGGGCCATGTGCATGATGTATGGTATCTCCTCTTGCACACATTTCATGAGTCAGGAAAGCAGTTCTGCACGTGCTTGTGTCCCATTGAAACTGATGCCATGTTAAGTGTGTGCTTTCATGAATTGGAACTATAAAGCATAGATCAGTGTACAGAATGAGTAGCATTAGATTATCTGAGTTCCAACCAATCATGTTGCCCAGCATGTTCTTCAAAGAACCAAATGGGTCTGAAAAGTCAGGAGCAGAAAGTACCTTTTCAGAAAGCAACCTAGCCTTCCACCTTCAGCTTCTCCAAGAATGTGTGAAAAGGCAGCTCCCTTTGTGAGAGAGGGGATGTGGGCCCAGGAGAGATGTTAGATGTAGCTCTGGCTGACCAGACCCCAAACAGAGGGATCCACATGTTCATGGATCTCCAGATAAGTCTCTTTCGAGAGGCTAGCAGCTGTTTTGCAGAACCTCAGAAGCCTTCGACAAAAGATGCAGCAGCCTCTGTCCGCATCCCTTGAATGCCTCTTCCCACTGAATCCAGGTTGCGTAGAGAGAGGAAGATTTGCTTCTGTCCCTGCAGCAATTACTCTGTGTAGGGTTGGAAATGGAGTGATACCCTCTTTATCTTCTTTGTACTTATTTGGAAAATCAGGTAACTTCTGAGTGAGTCAGGTTAGTTCTTTCCAAACCAGTGAAAAATCTGAATGGAGACAAATTCAAAAACAACCTTCCATGGTTGTTCCATCTCTCAGTTCTCTTCCTTCCTTCTGCCCCTCTCTTAGGATAGTTTTCAGGTAGTTAGTATAACACGTTGCCACACTTGGGATATTGCAAGCCCCTCATATTCCAGTGTCGGGAGAAGTTTGTTTTCTTGAGCAGTCTTTATTTTTGACGTGGGTCTGTGAGCACTGAGCCTTTTGTTAACTGAGTCTGTCTCAAGCTCTGTGCACTTCAGCAGTGCTAACAGAACGCATTTAATAATAGCTATGCATAAATATTTGATTCAGCATAGAGCAGAAAGGGTCTTGCAACTTTAGCTGAAGAAATGCAGCCGTGACTCTAATACTCAGATTAAGGGGGAGATAACTCACGAGAAACCGTTGTATATTATCTTATTGTGCCTGTAGAGTGTCTAGCCCAGTGTGATCCTGATCTGTTATCTGTATTCCAGTAGCACCTAGATACACTAACAAGGTGACTGTGCACACATCAGTGGTTACTTAGTGCTGAATTACCCTTTCAGGGATCAGAGGGGTAGCATCTGAAGAAGTGAGGTTCTTACCCACGAAAGCTTATGCTCCCAATACTTCTGTTAGTCTTAAAGATGCCACAGGACCCTCTGTTCCTTTCAGAGACTGGCTCATGTGGGTTATGAGATGTGGAATCTTTTCACAGGGACCTGGCAACAAGCCAATCCTTCCTGTTTTATTACAGTTGCACACAAAGCCAGTCTAGACCAGGATCTTGGGGAACAATGGGGCACTTTGGGAAAGACTTTGTTTGTTAAACTTTCACAGGTTTGTAAAACTTAATTTGGTTTGAAGGCCAGTTACAGAAAATGTTAGGGCGGGCGGTGTGGAATGGTGACATCAGAGGTTGCTCAGCCAGTCGTCTTAGAGTTGATTTGCATAGATATTTGCA